ATTATTTTGTTTAATTATTCGCTCTTAAATTATTTTAAAAATTATTTATTTTAATACTATACACCCCTGTTTGAAAATTATTTTACAATAAAAATTTTGTTAATTATTTATCTCAAAATTATTTAAAAATTTTCAAACTTTTAGAATTATTTTAGGATTGTTCATTTTTCAACTACTTTAAAAATATTTATTTCAATAATACATACTTCTATTTGAAAATTATTTACCTTAAAATTACATTATAATTATTGTACAATTATTCATTTTTAAATTGTTAGAATCATCTACCTTAAAATTATTTTTGAATTATCTGTCTTAAAATTATTCCAATGTTATTTATTTTTAATTCATTTTAGAGTCATTTGTCTTAAAATAGTTCTATTTTAGTTATTTTAAAATTATTTACATAATTATACTTGCATTATTATACATAATTATACATAATTTTAATATTATGTCGGCTAAAATTATTTTACAACTATTAAGATTGTAATAATCCTGTCTCTGTAACATATTATGGTACTTTCTTATTCACAAGTATACCTCTAATAATTCAATAATATTTATTTCATATTTTGATATCTAAAATTGTGATTACATTACATCGTCTTCGTTTTCACCTTCCTTATTGCAATTATTTCCTTTTTCGAATGATATATCAGATTTTAATATTCAATATCGAAAGTTAATAAAGCAGTCAAAACATGTTTATGTACTTATGAAATGTTTGCCAGCTATGAATATCGGCAATCGAATAATTATACAACCCGTTATATTATTTATGATAGTCTGTAGCGTTTCTTTTTTTTAATTTAATTGAAATTTCGCCCCAAATTCCGTAGCGTTAAATAACTTTTATCTCCGACATCGCTTTCTCCAGTCTGCTATTAAAACATAGTTAAACATCATGCAAGCATAGCAAATTTTAGCGATGGTTTAATCGTTACATCATTCCCACTTATCCAAGATTTTGTTAATAAGAAAATGAATTACCGACAATTGTTTTGTGTTTTTTCGTCGATTATATACTTTGTCAACGTATAAAGGAATTTTATGTAGCGTCTTTGGAACTTTTACTTTGAGTTTCGCTTACGTAAATTCTAGTGAATTGTATCCTCAAAGTCGGCTTACTTCGCCAATTAACTAATCATTGAAGCTCACTTTCATCAATTATCGTGGAACTTCCTTGCTTCATATATTAACTTTCTTCGTTTGTGTGATATACTAAATTATACTGCGAGTAGTGAACAGCTGATTGGTGTGTGTATATTGGTTAAGTGATGGAAAGTTAGATTTGAAGATATGATATGTATAACACATGTCATGTATGTTATATTTTATTGTGGATGTGTTATATATTATTTGAAGATATTACACATTTAAGGTATGATATATCATATCACACATATGTGTCATATATCATTTAGGACATATGATAATATATGATATATGTATCACATGTCATTGAAGGATATGACATATGATACATATGATAGACATCATTCAGAAATATATTACAATATACCATATATGTCACATATCATTTAAGGGTATAACATATTACACATATGGGTCATATATCATTTAAGACATATAATAATATATCATATATACATCACATATCATTGAAAAATATGACACATGACACATACGATAAATATCATTCAAAAATATATCACAATATACCATATATGTCACATATCATTTAAGGATATAATGCAACATATCACACATATGTGTCATATATCATTTAAAACATATGATAACATATGACACATATGATAAACATCATTAAAAAATTTATTACAATATACCATATACATCACATATCATTTAAAGACATAATACAGCATATCACATATGCCACTTATCATTTAGGACGCATTACAACCTATCACATATATATCACATAATCTGAAGATATGTTACAGCATGTGACATTATTACATGCACATATATTTCACTTATCGTCTGAAGATATATTACATGTCACATTCCTCATATCGGTTAATATATTGCAATATGTCACACATATGTGATATCTTTTAATGATAAATTCCAGCATATCACACACGTGCCAATTATCCTTTCAAGATATGTATACATGTTGCATATCATTTGAATGTATATTATGACATACTACATATGTGTAATACAACATATCATTTATACACAATGATATTATATATCATGTAATATGAATATGTGTAATATATGTGTATCACATAATATGAATATATGTAATGCATGTATATCACATAATGTGAGTATAGTTTCTCCAACTAAATTGACACAAATCTCCTTGCAGTTTTTCTCCCAACAAAAAGGACTTCAGAAATATTAATCGAATTAAAATTCTTCACTTACTGTTTCAATAGATATTTCATGCTCTTAACAGTTCAAAAATATTTTATACTTCTTTTTCATCGTTCCTTCAGAAAATATCTTCAACACAATTCTCCTTTCCTTTATATTCAATTTGAAACATTTTGAAGCACAGTTCTACCAAACCAACCACTCAACACAACTCACCTTCGCAAACTAGAACCATTACTTTCCCCATGGTGGTGGAGCATTTTAATTCACCGCGGTGGTCACGTGTTGACCGTCATAATACAAAACTGGTCAGACATCGATAGTTTATCATTTCTACACCATATAAAGCAATCAAGTATACCATATATCTACTATTTTCTACTTCATAAAAATAAGTAGCTCGCTTTTGTGAAATTTTTTCGTTGACTCATTGTTTACTCGAAGACCCGAGCGAATCGATTAGATAAATGCATCTTCAGAATCTAATGAATCTTCAGAATTGTAGGGACACTTTCCCTGTTGCAGATTGGCAAGTTCTCCCTTTTTGAGATACGGTTACCTCACGTAATTAAAACCACATTATACAACACACTGCATAATGTACTTCTATAATGTACAAGGTATCGATTATAATCTCTTAATCATCGCTGACCATCTATGATACTCAAACGTGAAATAGTTCCACAAAATTTCGCAAACCGATATAACTGATAGTTGCTACTTGCCTTGAATTATCATTTAATCCAATTCGCTATCAAATTAATGCAACTCTATCGCAACTACTTAAAGCCTTTGTGAAAATGGAGCTGTGAAATAAGCTATGTCTAACGAATTCCAAAGTCAACTTTTCATGAGAAAGCGTAAAATTGAAAGCTATTAAAGAAAATCAGCTCATGAATAAACAAGTCGGGTTATAACAAGTTAAGACATTAAGTCCTAACAAAAGCAGTGCATAATTTTGTAAAAAATGACAAAGTAAACTAAAGATACATAACTTATTTTAATAAGGTCTTGTATTAAAGAGTTTGGAACCAGAAACCATAAGGTTGAGACAGCCAAATTTTCTTGAATGAGATGTATGGATGTTACAGATAGTTTATGGTAGTTTATAAAATAAAATTTATTAAGACATGGAATATTTGAGTTGTATCTCGGTTCTTACCTGCCATGGTACAATCCGCTTGTGTTATTATGTGATTACAACACTGGTCTCCGCTCGGCCACCACTTAAGCTGCCCGAACAACTTATGCTAGTTTTGCCGGGGAAATGAAGCATATCGCAGTCCACATTTCGAATATGTATGTGACGGAATACCACACCAGTGGTGGAAACACGACTCGATGGTGCGGGTATCATTGTTTGTCTTCCAAATATTATTTTATTAGAGGTTAAGTGGTTGACTTTCTAGCGCGGGGTCAGAGTGAGATCGATGGAGTTGATTATTTGGTGGGTGAGGATATTTTGGTGGGGATGTGTTCTTGCGGGAAATATCGAGACATTTTATTAGGAAATTTCGTATTGTTTTAATTTGGTTTATACTGATTTTATTGTAACAAAGTTTTACAGATTTTTACAGTCGCATAAGGAGAAGATTTTTAATCCTGTTTTAAGGTTTTTTATTGTGAAATGTGAGGTACTTAATTAATAGGAAATTTTTAAGCTTAGAATTGTATTACCAAACTTGAGGATTTTGAAGTCCTCAAATTTAAAATTAACAAAGTTTTGATTTTGTTTAAGCCTTAAAATTATTGATTTTTTGAATTCTTAGATGCTCAAAGTTTCTAGAATTCCTTAAATACTCAAATTTTCGAATTTCTATATTACTAAATTTTTAAGTTTCGAAATTTTCAGATTCCGTATCTTAAATTCTTAAACTTGCTAAATTTAAAAATTTTCAAAATTCTAGAAATTCTTGAAATTCATAAACTTTCAAATATTCAAATTTCGAAGTTTCTCAATTCTTTAATTTTTAAATTCTTGAAGCTATTAAATTGCGCAATTCTCAAATTTCTAGAATTTCTAAAATTTTGTTAAATTTTCAAAATTACATTACCATGTACCTAAATATCTAAATTTTTAAATACTAAAACACCAAAATTTTCAAATTCCAAAATCCCCATATTGTTACTAAATTTTCAATTAGTCAAAGTCCCTACGATTGCTATATCTACAAATACTTAAATTGAAAACTTTGTAAATCCCAAAGTTCCCAAATTACCAAGTTCCTGAATTCTTAAAGTTATTAAATGCCTAAATTCGTAAATTTTCAAAGTTACTAAATTTTCAAGTTCCTAAATTCTCGAAGTCTCAAAATTCCCAAAATACTGAAATTGTCAAATCCCTAAATTGATATACCCTATAATTCTCAAACTACCACATTCTCAAATGCCTGAATTCTCAAAGTCCCAAAATTCCCGTAATACTCAAACTATCGAATTTCTAAATTCCTATACTCTGAAATCTCCAAACTCTCAAAGTCCCAAATGCCTAAATGCTCGAAGTTCCAAATACCTAAATTCTCAAAGTTCCAAACATCCAAGTTCCAAATATCCAAATTCTCAAGATCTCAAAATTCCCAAAATACTCAAATTATCAAATCCCTAAATTTCCATACCTTGAAATCCTTAAACTCTCAAATTGCCAAAGCCATTAAATTCCCAAACATTCAAATTCTCAAATATCCCTCAACTCCCTTCAAAATTCCACATCTCCAAATGTCCAAATACTACACCGTTTTTCAAAAAACATTATTATGCAAAAAGCGTCACTCAAAAAACTACAAAAGAAAACTAAAGTCTCCTTCATTTGTTAATACATCCGTCAAATATACATAATCTTCACAAAAAAAGTCTATCATATATTAACGTTCAATAGAAAATCACAAAAGTGAAAGAAACATCGAATATCAATATTTCACTCAGGAATCATCAATTTCTCTCCAGTCTTCTTTAATCATGTCAGCAGCCTTCTCAGCGATCATAATCGTAGGTGCATTAGTATTTCCAGAAACGATTTTTGGCATAATTGAAGCATCGATCACTCGCAGTCCAGAAATACCGTGTACTTTTAATCTCGGATCCACCACCGCCATTTTGTCAGTGGCGGGCCCCATTTTGCAGGTCCCCACAGGATGGTAGATCGTGAGGGTATAATATCTAGCGAAACATTTCCAATATTCCCTCGATGGATACCCGTGCTTTTCACATTCGGGAAGCTTGTTTGGATTTGGTCGAGCTTTCAACGCCTTTAATGTTGGCGTATTTATCATGTCGTAAACGAACTGTGCTCCTTCTGCCTGTAATAGTTAATTTGGGTGATTTTAATTGAGGAGTGAGCGAGCACTTATTGGTATGGTGATTGATAGAGATGTGACTAGTAATTTTTTTTTAGGGTGATTATGATATCTTATTAGGGTGTTTTGATAAATAATATATAGTAATTTTTTTGAAGAAATAATTTTAAGATAGTGTTCTTAGTGAGAAATGTTTTCGTGGAATTAATTTGTGGGAAGTGGTGGTTTAATGTAATTAATTAGTGAGAATTGATGTTCTAATGTAATTAATTAGTCAGAAATCAAGTTTTAATATACTTAATTAAAAAGAATTGATATTTCAATATAATTAAATTGTAAGAAGTTATGTCTTAGTATAATTGATTAGTAAGAATTGATTTTAATATAATCAGTTAGTCAGAAATAATGTTTGAATATAACTAATTATAAGAAATGATATTTCAATATAATTAATTAATAAAAAATGTTGTTTTAGTGTAATTAATCAGTAAAAATGATGTCTTAATATAATTAGTAAAAATTGATGTTTTAGTATAATTAATTAATAAGAAATGATATTTCAATATAATTAATTAATAAATAGTGATGTCTTCTTATACTTGATTAGTCAAAATAATATTTTAATATAATTAATTAGTACGAATTGATGTTTTGATATAATCAATAAGAAAGAATTGATGCTCTGATATAATCAATTAGTAAGAATTGATGTTGTAATATAATCAATTAATGAGAAATGATATTTTAATGTAATTAACTATCAATAAGTCTTGTTTCAATATAATTAATTCTTAGGAAACAATACTTTAATACAAGTTATGAATTACAGCACAAAAGATGAAGTTCATTAGTTAAAAGCAGAGCAAACCATATAAACCCTGACTTTAATTAAATAATGAAACAACGTAAAATTAACAAACACGTGCAAGTATTCATTAATTTGATTAAATCCCAGTATATATTCTCCCTGTACTTAAAGTCCTATCACATATAATCAAACAATGAACTCTTAAAAGTTATACAAGAACTGTAACCCTTAACTGCATTATTTTACAAACACGCCACCTAAAACAATGCCCCCTGAAATTTTCATCAAGATGAAATTTTCATTTCAAAAACATTTCTCGTTTTTCATAGTTACACTTTTTTATTGCACTTCCTCGAAATGCTTGCGCATTATGTCACATTCTAAATAAACGTTTTAAATAAATTATTTTCATAGATAAAGCTTATCGTTATTTTCTTGTTTCATATAATTTATGAGGGTTCTGAGAAGGTTTGAGGAAATTGTGCAAGGTTGACGTAATTAAAAAATAAAGTTACCAGAATTTCAAGGTCGTGAGGGTCGTCGAAATAATTTGGAACGATTATGGGGTGCGTATACGGATCCTTCGAACGTAGTTTAATATATCCTCTACTTCGAGGTCGCAGTAACATCGGAACGATCATATACGAATCCTGATAAAGAATATTTTCGAACAATCTGTAGTAGAAACTGTCCCTAATGTTGCTACCCCTTTTTCCGTTTATACCACCGTCTGTGTTGTCGGCAGCGGATGATAAGAAAAATTGAACGTCAGGATAATCGTCTGACTGGTTTGCATATCTGAAAACATAATTAGTTGCTTGAATTATGCATCTGTGTTGCGATACGTCACTGTTAATACTATCGGAAGTAATAAATATCCTGCAAAGTTTAAATAACTTTTCCTTCTTTTCACTCTTAGTTATTTCTTATTATTTCGAGGATTTTAAGTTGTATAATAGGTTTGTTTACATTTATTTATCGGACTCATTTTGATGCACTTTTTATTATGACATTTGACAATTTGACAATTTGACAATTTAACAATTTGACAATTTAGAAATTTCATACCTTCAAAAAATTGAATACAAAAATTTGAAACTGAGAAGTTGTAAAATTTGATTTCGAAAATGAAATAATTTGTCTCAATAATTTAATCAAATGACATGGTCAAATTTAACAATTTGATAATTTAACAATTGAAAAATTAAAAAATTTGTTAATTTGACAATTTGACAATTTGACAATTTGACTATTTGACAATTTGACAATTTGATAATTTGATAATTTGACAATTTATCAATTTGAAAATTTGACAATTTATCAATTTGAAAATTTGATAATTTGATAATTTGATAATTTGACAATTTGACAATTTATCAATTTGAAAATTTGGCTATTTGACAATTTAAAAATTTAATAATTTATTAATTTGATAATTTGACTATTTGACAATTTAAAAATTTGATAATTTGACAATTTAGAAATGTCATAACTTAACAATCTGACAATTTAAAAATTTCATAATTCAACAATTAAAAATTTCCATAATTTAGTAATTTAAAAAAGTCAAAAATTCAATAATTTAAAAATTTGAAAGAATTCAATAACTTGAAAAGTATATTTCCAAATTTCATCATTTCATCATTAAAAAATTTAAAAATCAAAAAATTCAAAAAATAAAAAATCAAACTTTCCCACTTAAATTCTTAAAAGTATAAATTTTCAAAAAATACTCACTTGGTCTTAATAAAAGCAATACCCTCACCGATCGTCCCCGAGTAAAGTACTCCTTTATGGTTAATACCAAACTCCCTGATGGCTTTGAAGTTTATTGACTTCCGTACATTGAAGCAAAAATTCTCGGGTGAAGTATAATTAGATAATTTAGTGACTTGATAAGATAATCCACCAATTGCGGCATGATCTTGAAGGTTTCTACCCACACCAGGTAGATCATGAATCAAAGGGATTTGCATTTCTCTTAGGTGATCTTTTGGACCGATTCCGGAGAGCATCAATAATTGTGGGGAATTGATTGATCCTCCTGATAGTATCACTTCACGATTTGCTGTCACTGTTCGAAGAATTCTTCCTACTCGAAATTGTACGCCGTATGCAATTTTTGACTTTCCATCTGTAAGGTGAAAATGACAAGATTGTTTAGGAAATCTTAGAGTTTCACTGATTTTTATTTTTTATTGGGGATTTTTAGGATTTGGTGTTTTTAGAAATTTAGTGTTTGAAACTGTGAAATTTTACATTTTAATTGTTTTCATGTTATGTAATTAAGTTTCATTATTCAAAATTTTCATATTATGAAATTTTCAAATTTCTCAATTTTCGAATTGCAAGATTTTTTGGGTATCAAGCTTTGGTATTTCTAAAATTCCAATTTTTCGCATTTCTCTGAATCCCTAGTTGTGAATTTCAAGTTTTATAGTTTTCATATTTTCAACTTCCCAAATTTTCAAATTCTCAAATTTCCCAGTTCTCAAGTGTCAAAATTTCCAAATTTTTTAATTTTCAAATTTCCAAAATTTCTAAATTTTCAAATTCTCAAATATCCAACTGGAAAAATTTTGCAACTTTCCTCGTTTCCATACCTCAAATTTTCCAATTCTCAAGTACCAAAATTTTCAAACTTTCAAATTTAACAAATTCCTAAATTTTCAACTTACTAAAAATCCTTTCCAAAATCCCAAACTTCAAAGCTCTACAAATTCCCCAATTTTCAAGTTTCTATATATTCCAATTTTCATGTCTTTCAAATTTTCAAATTTTCAAAATTTTACGTATATAAAATTTTCATTCTTGTATGCGTCCTAAATGAAAAATTTCAATGTCAGCCACTGGTGACTCCAAAACTTAAAAATGAAAAAACCAAATAACCTTATAAATCGACCTAACTCACCATTACGAACTAAAATCTTCTCCACCATAGATCTTATACTAATATCAAGATTCTTTCTCTTCGAAGCTGATCGAAGAAAAGCTTTCGCAGTGCTGCATCGTAATCCATCTCTCAAGGTTCCAGGACATAACGAAAACCCACTTTGTGTCTCTCCATTCATGTCCACAATATCATAGCCCATCTCCGTTCCCGCTTGAACCAAATAATGCACTATAGGCGTTGTATACCTAAAGTTCTCCACGGTCAAGTGTCCACCTTTCTGATGGTAAGGAGAGTTTTGAAGATTCTTTATTCTTATGTCTTCAGATTTTTTGAAATATGGTAATACGCTTTCATAATTCCATCCTGGGTTACCCAGACTCTCCCAGTTGTCGTAATCTCGTCTGTTACCGCGGATGTATATCATCGCGTTTATGGTGCTGCAGCCACCGAGTACCTGGAATATTTGCAGAATTTTCATTTTTTGATGGAGATATTTGTAACTATTTTGCAGTGAGATAAAATTACGAATCAAGCAATGGTCAGTTAGATAATCTAGATATAGAAATAGATGAAGATCTTAAGTGGAGAAATGTCTAGGTTCATTCGTTCAGTTAGAATTAAATCAAAGTTCATTCCTAGGTTCATTCAGTCAAGTAGAATCATATCAAGGTTCACTCCTAGGTTCATTCATTCAGTTAGAATAATCTTAGAAAACAGAGGAAGCAAATAATTTAACCATGGACTTAGATATCTTTGGTAGACTAAACAGTTTCGAGGCCTTAGAGTGTCTGTGACTGTTTCGGGATACACTGGGAATGAGATAACTCCATCCTTTTTTACCTACTGATTCTTAATCTTTTGTACCTACTGATTTACCTACATTCCTGAATTCTTACAAACTTCAATATTTGCAAATCCATACATCCCTAGTGTACTTCATTTCCAAATTCTTAAATACCCAAATTGCTACATCTCAAAATTCCTATATTCCCAAATCACTACATCCCCAAATCGCAACATTCTCAAAACACTACGTCCCCATATTGCTATGGCCCCAAACTCCTACATCTCTAACTCGGTGCACCCCCCAATCCCTTCATTACCAAATTCCTACGTTCCCAAATCGGTTCATCTCCAAATCGCTACGTCCCTAAATAGCTACATCTCTAAATCGCTATATCCCCAAATTCCTACATCCCCAACTCGGTACATCCTTAAATCCCACCATTCCCAAATTCCCGCGTCCCCAAATAGCTATGTCTCCAAATCACTACGTCCCAAAATTGCTATATCCCCAAATTCTTACCTCCCCAAATCACTACATCCCAAAATTGATATATCTCCAAATTTCTATGTCCCCAAATCACTACATCCCCAAATAGCTACATCTCTAAATCGCTATATCCCCAAATTCCTACATCCCCAACTCGGTACATCCTTAAATCCCACCATTCCCAAATTCCCGCGTCCCCAAATAGCTATGTCTCCAAATCACTACGTCCCAAAATTGCTATATCCCCAAATTCTTACCTCCCCAAATCACTACATCCCAAAATTGATATATCTCCAAATTTCTATGTCCCCAAATCACTACATCCCCAAATAGCTACATCTCTAAATCGCTATATCCCCAAATTCCTACATCCCCAACTCGGTACATCCTTAAATCCCACCATTCCCAAATTCCCGCGTCCCCAAATAGCTACGTCTCCAAATCACTACGTCTCAAAATTGCTATATCCCCAAATTCCTACCTCCCCAAATCACTACATCCCAAAATTGATGTATCTCCAAATTTCTATGCCCCCAAATCGCTACGTTCCCAAATAGCTACATCCCCAAATCGCTACGTCCCCAAATTGCTATATACCCAAATACCTCCATCCCCAAATCACGTCCTCAAATTACTATATCCCCAAAGAGTCTACGTCTGCATACCCCTAAATCCCCATATCCCCAAATACCTTCAAATCCTCAAACAGCCTTCTCTTCAAATCCACATATCTCCACATCTCTCCATCCCCATTTAACCAATCTACTTATCTAAACTATCTACAACATCCAAAAGAAACATGATGTTGATCCACAATTCGCCATAAGAATACAAATGCCTAAAGTTGCAAATTTCGACATTTTCAATAATTCCGATAATTCTAAATTTGCAAACGACATACCTTGCCACGAGGCCAGTTGCACTTGTTATTATTCATCGCCTTGCAATATTTATCCGAAGGCTCGGTTTGATATTGCCAATCCAGCGGAGTGATCTGCAAAGCCGGAAATACCACAGGCACATCGGACAAATCAGGTTCATCGGCACCAGCTTCTAATAAAAGCACAGACCAGTTTCCGTTTTCCGATAAACGATTGGCCAACACCGAACCAGCCGAACCACCTCCGATTATCACGAAATCGTAATTGCTTTTAATATTTGTCAGAGAGACTGGTCTCACTCTGTGTTCGCGATCGACGATGTCCGGTCTGTATAGACCTATAATAATCCTCAAAATCACGAGAAAGCTGAGTTCCGGTCCGTAGGACATTGCGATTCGCATTGCTGACACTCTACCTGTTTCCGCCATCCTTCTTCTTGTTCCTTAGATCTGCACAAGAAAGGAACAAAAAGTTAAACGAGAACAAAAGTATTAAAGTAATGTATGAAGTAGCATTATGAGATATTTGTACCGAACTGTAATTAATTTTTAACTGGGAGGTAAAAATTTGAAACTGAGTTGCGGAATTAAACTGGCGCTGGAAAAATGTGATATGTTTGACACATGTCAGGTTCTGAAGTAACATCGTCGTGCTACGGACATGTACTGAATATTCTCGCCGTAATAAATAGATTAAAATTAAAATAAGGCTATTTTCGAGCATATAATTGCAACATTTTGCAAAAGGAATTGTAACTACGCAAGATAAAGGAACAACAAGCTAAACGAGAACAAAAGTATTAAAGTAATGTATAAAGTAGCATTATGAGATATTTGTACCGAACTGTAATTAATTTTTAACTGGGAGATAAAAATTTGAAACTGGAGTTGATGAATTAAACTGGCGCTGGAAAAATGTGATATGTTTGACACATGTCTGGTTCTGAAGTGACAACATCGTGCTACGAACATGTACTGAATATTCTCGCCGTAATAAATAGATTAAAATTAAAATAAGGCTATTTTCGAGCATATAATTGCAACATTTTGCAAAAGGAATTGTAACTGCGCAACATAAACGGAGGCCTTAGGGAATGTGGAGGTACCGATGTCGACACTTGAGTTGGCGCGTGAAGAGACTGGCTCAGAAGTTTGGAAGAGCACGTATCAAAATTATTATAATGGTTTTAAATCTCTTTTAATTTTTATATTCTTAAATTCCCTTATCTTCAAATTTCTATATCCTTAGATATTAATATTCCCGAGTCCTTACGTTCCCAAATTCTGCATTCCCGAATCTATACACTTCCGAATCTGAATCATTCTTATATTATCTGATATCTATACAACCGATTCCCTACATTCTTGAATCCTTACATTCCCGAATTCATACAATTTGGAATACCTACATTTTCAAATCCCTACATCCCCAAATTCTTCCATATCTAAATCTCTACAGCTCTAAACCGCTACGTCCCCAAATCGCTACATCCAAAAGTTGCTATAGTCCTAAATCGGTTCATCTCCAAATTGCTACGTTCCCGAATTTCTACATCCCGAAATCGCGACGTCCCGAAATCGCTACGTTCCCAAATAGCTACGTCCCCAAATAGCTACACATCCCCAAATTTTTACCATCCCCAACTCGATATATCCCCAAATCA